TAATTCAAGACTATCCAGAATGGGGAAGAATAATTAGTAAATTACTTAAATACATCTATCTTTATACTTTCATTATCAAGAATTGTCAAAGAACCATAAAAGTTTAGCATAGGAGGGAATATTAGAATTCACTAAGACCAAACCTTCAATGCCTCAGAAGAAGCAGAGAGTTCAGAGAAATGATTTGTTCAAGGTCATCTAGCTAAAGAGAAGCAGATTCAGACTAGAACTTATTTATTATTTCATTCCCTTAGCAGTCAGGAAATTCTGCTGTGTTCCAAGTAAGGTACTAAGTAGCAAAAATACTAAGGATGGATAAAATTTTCCCTTTCCTCCAATGAGTTGACAGGGTAGGAGTGTTGAGGTTGGGTAAGAGACAGCTATAGACTTTACTAAAGCCATTAGTGCAATCCCCAAAAGACATGAGATTTTTAAAATCCATATTTTATACTTCAAAATTCAGCTAACACTCCATTTTAGAGCTTCAAATCACAGCAGTATGTAAAATAACAAAGGAGTAGTGCAAAGGAAACAAAGGGACCCTTATTGTAGATTTTCTAACAGTATTTCCACATAATGTAATATCACACCTGCAATTCAAATACATTGTTCCTTCTCTAATCCAGAAAATTATGCATTAGAGAAGGAACAAGTTAAAAAAAAAGTGATTTTTTTCTTTTTTAACATTCCAGGATAGACTCAATTCCTAGGCTCAAGCCATCATCCTGCCTCATCTCTGGAGTAGCTGGGATTATAGACACCTGCCACTGTGCCTGGTACTGTCAGTTGTATAGGTAGAAATGTGTGATTTGTTTAAATTCCCTTGCACATGTTGTATGTATATGGAAAGTATGGTTTTACAACTGATGCCAAATAAACTTGTATATGAGAAAAACAGTTCACTTAGAATATCATGATTAACTAAACATGAGTTTACAAAAAGAGACCAGAAAAATTGTGTAGCAATCAGAGTAAGATTTACAATGATAAAATGAGTCTGATGGATGAGGAATTATATTTGTAAAAGTGCCAAGTTCTGCATACAGAAGGACAGTTTTATGAGCAGTTATGACAGAAGTCTCTGTCACCAGGCCCCTGCGGGCAGCTCAGAACCACATTGATTCAAGTTCCTCTGTGAGCTGTCAGGACTATGAGGATTATTATATTTTTTAAGCATGACATGTAGTTATTATCACTAGCGTGAGAGAAAATCAAATGACCTATCACACTATTCTTGATTTTATTTAATTGTTTTGGTACTAACAATCATTGTTCTTAAACAATGGAATTAAATATAAGCTCTGTCAAAAGTTTTCTAAGAGGGCTTTAAGCAAATGTTTAAAATAAAGTCTTTTTACTTTTTACTCCTTTACCTATTTGATGAATCTGTAAATACCTTAATTAACCTTCAGGAGTAGGAGGCTTTCATTTTCTACTCACTGACTTCACTGAGATAAATTAAAACAGTAATCCATTGATGTTGAAATGTCAAGGCTAAAATGTCACAGAAACATCAAGTTCAGTAAAGTTGCTCTCCTGTTTCAAGAAGTCTAATGATATAGTCATCCGCGTTATCTTTAAGGATGTGGATGTGTAATCATTGAAGAGCTTCACGGCTGCAACCTTAACATTTTCAGTCACAGTCCTTGAGTCAATGCTCATGCCCACACAGAAAAGCCAGTCTTCATTTCACTCTTGAATTCACACAGGTAAGTGGGTGGGTATGTGCTCAAACCCAGAGATGCATTATCACATTAATCCAAGTCCATTCATCTCATTGCTCTGATTTTTCTTATTTCCTTTGAAACTAAATAATTCTTTACCTACTGCCCTTCATTGCTTAATAATTCAAAGAAAGCACTGGAAAGAGTCAAGAACCAGTTACTATGACTATTCATTTACTTCTTAATGCTTCAATGTCCCTCTTTGTGAAATGTGAATTGTAATATCTGGCCCAACTGCACAGATGGCCAGAATAAGAGAAATACTATCTACAAGAGCACTTAAAATGCTTTGGAAGAAAGGCATAAGGATATTGTAACTTTAAAAATAAATGGTACAAGGGTTGGGGTTGTGGCTCAGAGGTAGAGCCCTTGCCTAGCATGCATTAGACACTGGGTTCAATCCTCAGCACCACATAAAAATAAAATAAAGGTACTGTGTTCACATACAACTAAAAAATAAATGTTTAAAAAATAAATAATTTTTAAAAATAAAATAAAAGGTACAAAATAAGGAAATGAATGCAGCAAGTAAACAACAAAAGAAATCAAAGTCTTGGGCACTGTTGTTGCTGGATATTTTTTCTTTTTGTCAGTTATCCTCAAAATATCGTTCAGCTCCATAATGGCTGATGTTTGTGTGCATCCTGCCAAACACTGTAACATTCTTTAGGAACCATATTGTAGGGTAACATGGAGGAAGCAATTTACCACTGAGAAACACTTTGACTTCTTTATCTGCCTCCCCTCTCAGTCTATAAGCTCTGATATTTGATGTGAACACAAAGCCTCATTTGTTTGTTCCAAATATCTAGATATGTGGGTGAACTCATTCTACCAAGGAATGTCATCAAAGTTCACATCTGCTGATTCCGTAGCATGAGGCATCTGACCATTTGATCCCCCCAAAACAGTGTGAAGCACTTTTCCTACCTGAAAATAAATTGTTCCCACCCAACAAAAATGTATTGAGCATCAACAATGTAGAAGGCACTCTGTTGGCCATGGTGGAGAATGCAAAAATGAATAAGTCATTTTTTTTCCCTAAAAAGGAACTTTACAGGCCCATATTCTTAGATACAGAGCCCAGCCAGAGTCAGTTCTCTGGAATGGAGGCTGTGGCATTTATCTCTCTATACTTAGGGCTTACGTTCTGTGCATTGACTAAATAAATGATTAAATAGAAGAATAGGTGTTCTAATGAAGGTGTTTCCTATTCTTGTGTTTAACCACAATAAATCATTTCTAGCCTCTTCACAGTCTGATCCCAATTGTCTAAATTAGAAGGAAAGAAGAATCTAACACTGAAACAAGTTAGAACACAAGGAGGACATATTAAAAGTGAGAAAGAAAAAATTTAGGGAAGGAAAAAGAAAAGTGAAATCAAAATTTCTTTAGAAAACTTAGGAAGAATTCAGTTGATTCTCAATAACTGTAATAAAATAGACAATAACCTTAGTGTTAGTCAGTTTTTACCACTCTGACAAAATACCCAAGAAAAACAACTTAAAATAGGAAAAAGTTTATTATGGCTCACAGTTTCAGAGGTTTCAGTCCATGTTTGGCTGGCTCCATTGCTCTAGACCTGAAGTGAAGCCGAATATTAAGGCAAAGAGCACAGAAAGGAAAGCTGCCCACATCTTGGCAAAGAGGAAGGGACTAAGGAGAAGATATAGTCCCCAAGGGCACACCCCCAAGGACCACTCCCTCTGACTAGGTCCCACCTCCTACAGTTTCCATCACTTCCCAATAGTTTATTAAGCTATGAATCTCTCAATGGATTAATCTACTGATGAGGTCAGAGTCCTCATGATTCAATCACTTCCCCAAATTCCCGAATCTAAATATTGATGCTTTGAGGACCAAGCCCTCAAGTGAGTCTTTGAGGGACACTTTGTATCTAAATCATAAAAGACTTTGTGAGGAGAAAAAAAAATGGTGAAAATAGAATTAATAAAAGATTTTAGATAAAGGCAAAGGTTGAGGGGGGAACTTCAGCAGATGCCAGGCCACTTTGTCCCAAGAATGGAATCTTAAATAACGTTTCAAAGAATGTTAGGTGTGTTATTTGGACAAGGAATGGTGCAAACACCACCTACCCTAAGTTCTCTGTCCACCTGCTGTCTTCATTCCCTTATACAGTAGTTCCCAAACTTTTTTTTTAATATTTTATTTTTTAGTTGTAGTTGGACACAACATCTTTATTTCATTTATTTATTTTTATATGATGCTGAGGATCGAACCCAGGGTCTTGCCTACCGCTGAGCCCCCCAAACTCTTTGATCTCAGGTTGTCTTCAAACTCTTTAACTCTTTTACTCATGTAAATTACATCTAATGATACCATATAACATTTTAAAACAGAGAAGTTTCCAGAATATCATTTTGGATCAAGACAACGAAGTATACTTATTCGTTGTGTTTTAACATAAAGTCTGTGAAAAGTTCAAGATAATTATCTAAGAATAATAAAGTTATAACTATTCTGGTAGATTTGGCCAAAGGTAGCTAACAAAAAGTACAGAAGTACTGAGAACAAGCAAATTTTATTAATTTCTACGAGTCTCATAAATCTCTCCATAAAATATACATATTGATACTTTAAACCTACCCTTACAGAAACTGCTATACCTCCAGTTATTTTAATTAGCAGTGATATGTCATCACATGTCAAATAGGCTCTGGAAATTTCCATTGTACACTCTCGAAAGTGAAAATGCAAATCATGTTGATACCACAGTGGAAATAATTTTGATCCTGGAGATCGCTTGAAAGGAGAACCACTATTTGAGAACTAAAATAATCTATTAATTTTAAGGTCACTTCTCCTTTCATATCACTAACAAACTATTTCCTCTAATGAGTATTTTGTCCTCGTCCCTTTACCACCCTTTGAGAACAGTTGACCTAAGGTAACCACGAACTCTAGCTTAATGCAACCCAAAGTGATAAGCCTCCTGACGCCCTGAGGCCGTTTCTGTTTAGCGCTGGGAACAAAAATGCTCTCCTGCATTTCCACACAAGACAGAGTCTAGAAACAAGTCCCAAAGTTGCCACCCGCGCCGCCAAGGCGGGGCCACAGCTGGCAGCAGAGACCCGGCTAGCCCAGGGCTCGGAACAGAAGCTGCAGCTGCTGAGAGCGCAGCGTCGAGTCCTTGGAGACGCCAACCGGAGACCCGCCCTCCGCATGTAAGCCAGCCCCGGGAGGCGGGGCGCAGCCAGGTGCTCCCCAGGTAGACGCGTCTTCGCTTTCCCTCTGCTCGGTCGGCGGCCTCCCAGGGCCTACGCAAGAACTCGCGGCGCGCAAATTTCCCCACCCACAACGCTCCTCCGCGCACCCTGGGCGCCTCCTCTGTGTACTCGCTGGGGCCATCCGGGCACCGTGGAGAGCGAGAGTCGGAGTGTCGCCGAGATTTAAGACAGAGGGTCCAGAGATCTCAGGGACCACCAAGCAACAGGGCTCTGGCCCCGAGACTGTTGGAACATGTGCCGGGGAATACAGGTGCGGGGCCCGGAGACGGGGGTTGGGGAGCGGGGGAGAGGTTACCCGGGGAGATACAGGTGCCGGGGCTGAACCCACCGGGCGGATTCCAATGCAAAGCGGAGGGTTGTCCCGGCAAGGGTCCTCTTTGCCCTCGGAGAATTATAGGGCGCAGCATTTATCTCCAGGCACTCCCAGCAGGGGCACTTTCCCGGAGGGCGGAGGGTCCGGACGACCGAAACTGCGCGTGGGGCGCAGTCGCGCGGTGGCTTTGAGTACAACAGGTCGGTGACTCAGTTACCACTGAAACTTGAAGTGCTGAGCTTGGGGCTTTTTTGATGTGTTTTTTTTTTTTTTTTTTTTTTTTTGTTTGTTTGTTTAGCTTGTTTGACAGTTGCCAGACTATGTTTACACTTCTGATTCTACTCAGCCAACTGCCCGTAGTTATCTTCGCATTTCCTCATTGCACAAGAAGTCTAAAGGATACGAAGCATGCCGGAGAAGAAGGTAAGAATGACCGCAATTTCCGAGAAAACCCTCCTGGAAACTGGAGCTGCATATTACAGATCTCTAACGAGAAAGTGTGGTGCTTGAAATTACATGGCCCCTCGAACCTTGGAAGTATTAAACTATCCTTTAGTTTAATCTGTGGCTTATTTGGTAATGTGGGTTTTCATGTTCTTTAAAGTGTATACAAATGTATATTTCCTTTGATAAATATATGTTTTAAGTCGTGGTTTGCGGTTAACTGAATGGAAAGCCTATTTTAACTCTCCTTTTCCTAGATGAACCTACCTGTCAAATTTTTTTTAATATTTATTTATTTATTTATTTTAGTTTTAGGTTGACACAATATCTTTATTTTATATTTATGTGGGGCTAAGGATCAAACCCAGTGCCTCATGCATGCTAGGCGAGCGCTCTACCATTGAGCCACAACCCCAGCCCCAAGCTATATGGCAATTATAAAAAGCACAATTATTTGTTCTTCTAGGAAAGGTGGACAGGGAGTCCAGGCTTTAGTCGGGACTTGTTTTTGCACTCTGGGGATAGAATGCAGGTCCTCATGCAGGGTAGGCAAGCACTCTACCACTATGCCACTCTCCCTCAGTCACCTTGTCTGGACTTGTTATGAGATCCTGAGAAAAGCACTTAATCCCTTTGGACTTGAATATCTTCCTCTGTAAAATGATGGGACAGAATGATATCCCAAGTCCTTTCCTTCTTTCAAACGTCTAATTGTCTAGATAAAGGCAGATGGTTGAGAGATTAGATTTGGTGCTCCCTAACCTAGAAGTCTGCATTTTACCTTCGCCATAATCAGATTAGTTCTTGCCAGGTTAAAAGCCTAACCTAGCAAAACCAGAAAAGGAAAAAAAAAAAAATTCCTCTGGGTGTCAGCATCCTTCTCCTTGTATAGTCATTGTGCTTCCCCACCCAGTGCCAGCACTATGTACTATTCCACATGTTCTTGTCCCTTATCACATCTCATCAGGTCCTACTCGCAACTTATTTTCATTTGAGAACGATCTGTTCCTGTCTTATTAATAATACAGTTGTGTGTGTGTGTGTGTGTTAAGATAGGGCAATCCTTTAACCTAAAGGAATAACATTTTAATGACAAAATTCTAGGCACTTGAATAGGCTAGCTGGTGGGATAGGGAAAGATTTTGGAAGGAAAGAGATCCTCCTTGGTACTCTCTAAGTCACACCATATGTAAGACCATCTATATATAAAGTTGATGGCCTATACTCAGTAGGACCAGATGATACACCACAGAATAATTATGAGTGTATCCATTCATTCACATGACTATGCATAAAAGTCACTTTGAAGGCCATCAAAATTATGGAAGTAATTTAGAAATCATATTTGAGTGTGGAGAACTAGAGATGTCTATGGGAAATGAAAATGAGGGATCCTAAATATTTGAAAAGACAACTACATTATGAATACATAGTACACCAGGCCCTATGCTAGGTGCTGGAGATATAGAAATGAAGTACTGTAATCCCTGCCATGGATACCTTCTTCGTCTGGTGGGGGAGGCAGGTTATAAACAGATAATCTCCAAAAGCTTTGTAACAGAAGTAGAAACAGAGAACCCTGGGAGTGAAAAGCAGTAACCTTGCTCTAGGAAAGAGTTGTATGATACACAGAGAGTGCTTTCCATCTAAAACAGGACATAATAAATGGAGGTGTGAAGACTAGAGGAGTCTCCCTTTCTCTGCCCTGGATACATTCCAAAACTTCCAGTAGAAATCTCAGTACTGAACCCTGTATGTGAGCACTGCATACCACAAGAGTTGATCTGAAAACCAAGATGGCTACTAAGTTACTAATGGGCAGGTAATGTATACAGTGTAGACACTCTAAACAAAGGATGATTCAAATTCTGGGCAAGACTGAGCAAGAGGGGGAGATTTCATCATTGAACCCACAGTGACAGATAACTTAGAAATTGTCTATTTCTGGAATTATCCATCTAATATTTTCAGGCCATGGTTGATCCTAGTAAACTGAAACTATAAAAAGTAAATTTGTCAATAGGAGTACTACTACAACTGAAAAGCAGGGGACAGGTTCCTCCAGCTAAATTCTAATAAATTCTTAGAATGGAGATGAAATCACTTAAAAGGAACTTATTTAGAAAACATGGGGTGGGGCTGGGGCTGTAGCTCAGTGGTAGACCGCTTGCTTTGCACGTGTGAGGCACTGGGTTTGATCCTCAGCACCACATAAAAATAAATAAAGATATTGTGTCCATCTACAACTAAAAAAATATATAAAAAAAAAGAAAACATGGGGTGATAGAAGAAATGAAGAGAAGTGGAATATTTGGGTGGAGGGATTTATAACAGTGAAATGCTTAGACAGTCTCTTAGGAGAGTCTAATATATGAGAAACAGAGAAGGGAAGAGAATCCTAAGAAAGCAGATGCAAAAGACCAGTACTTCATTCAGCTGCAGTCAAGGGGAGAATAGGGGTTCTCACTTGGAGCCAAGGGCACTCCAGGGGTAGGGAAGTTTGCTTCTTTCCAATTAGAAACAAATTCAAGGGTTATTTAGACTCCAAATGACAAAGGACATTATTTTTCCTGATGTAGGAAAAAATTTGACCTGATACTGAAAGTGAACTCTAAGTTTAGCCACTGACAGAAACAGTACTTTCACACAAGGAAGTGGCAAATATCAGCCCCCCAGAAGACACAGTTAATACAGTATTAACAATAATATTTTGATTAATCATAAATACATTCATCACATTGGTATAAATATAATTTAAAGAGAAATTAAAATGTCTATGGCACTCTCATTTTTGTTTTATTTTCAAGTTTAAAAATAGCTCTAGCTGGGCAAGGGTCACACACCTGTAATCCCAGCTACTTAAGGCTGAGAAAGGAGGATTACAAATTCAGGGCCAGCCTGGTTAATTTATTGAGACCCTTCCTCAAAATAAAAAAGGGCTGTGGATGTAGCTCAGTGGTAGAACACTTGCCTAGCATATATGAGACCCTGGGTTCAATACCCTGTACTGGGGGAGGAAAAAAAAAAAGGCAAAGATCAGTACATACCTGAAAAGGAGCAATATAGTAGTAGATTTCTTATTCTCCTTTCTGAAATTAGATTCTATGCAGTAAATATAGCCAAATTGAGCAAGCTATGAGTTGCTTCTTCACTTATCTAATACTTTAAACCTATCCAAGTTGAGTAATACCAGATTATATCTATGAATTGTTTCCATTAGTTGAGTTTAGGTCCAAGAGTTTCTCCCCACAATAGGAAATCTGAGTCTGAGTTTGTTGATCCTATTTTGGGGGATACCTTCTATGTACCAGGCACCTACATCTCTGGGGAGAACAGAGTGCTAACAGAGTAAGTGAAGCACATAGAACACCAGATGGTGCTAATACTATGGAGAAAAGCAGAATATGGACAGGGAGTGTCCAAGGTAGGTGGATAGGGATGGGGATTCAAGGTAACAGTGAACAAAATCCTGAGGTGTGAGGGCAAACTGAAAGGAAAAAAAAAAAGTTCTATTCAAAGAAAAGAGCAAGAACAGAGGCAGGAGAGAACCAGGTGTGCTGGAAGCCAGCATGGAGTGATCAGCACAGAATACTTGAGGGAAAGTGGTAGAAGATAAGGTCAGAGGGGAAACAGCTTGAGGCTCTGATTGCATAGGGCCTTAGGCCGTAGTAAGGGCTTTGGCTTTTATTCTGTGGGAGGCAAGATTGTCATTAGGTTTTTTAAAAGCAAAGTAGGGGGTTGAGTGTTTGTATATGGAAGAAGGAGCAAAATAAAGGAAACAAAGCAAGGAGGATCAGATATCATAAAGCTCTAGGAACCAGTAGAGTAGGAAATTGCAAGGGAGAGAGGAGGGACAGGAGATGTGGAATAAATTTTTAAAAATCAGGGTTGGGGTCGTGGCTCAGCGATAGAAAGCTTGCCTAGCCCATGCGAGGTCCCGGGTTAGATCCTCAGCACCACATTAAAAATAAGTATTGTGTTCAACTACAACTGAAAAATAAATATTTTTTAAAAATTTTAAATCATGCTATGTGGGGCTGGGGATATAGCTCAGTTGGAAGAATGCTTACCTTGTATGCACAAGGCTCTGGGTTTGATTCCCAGCACACACACACAAAAAAAAATCATGCTGTGTGCATATATTAATATACCCCAGGGAATGTCACCTTTACATATAAGTAGAAAGAGCCAATCAAAAATAAATAGAAGAGCCAAGTGCTGTGGCATATGACTGTAATCCCACCAGCTGGGGAGGCTAAGGCAGGAAGATCATAAGTTCAAAGCCAGCCTTAGCAATTTAACAAGACCTTGTCTCAAAATAGAAAATTTAAAAAGGAATGGGCCTTTTTTTTTTTTAGTTGTCAATGGATTTTTTTTTTTAAATATGTGGTGCTGAGATTCAAACCCAGGGCCTCACACATGCCAGGCAAGTGTTCTACCACTGAGCCACTACTCCAACCCCAAAGGGTTGGGCTTTTTATACACCATAATATTTTTTTAACAGATTTATTAAAAGACAAAATTAGGGGCTGGGTTTTAGCTCAGTGGTAGAGCACTTGCCTTGCAAATGTAAGGCACTGAGTTCCGTCCTCAGCATCACATAAAAATAAAATAAACAAAATAGACACAGAATAAAGTATGGGGTTCTTGGCTGGCTGGAAAATAACTGGATAAATAGGATTTATGGTTATAAGCTTTTTGCCTGAAGGAATACCTCAAGCTTTGGCATACAGCATCAGGCACATAGAATAATTACAGATGGCAGTGATTATTAGTATTATTAATGTTATGTAATGGATTCTCTTCATCATAAAATGTTAACCAGGCACATATAGACATTAAAGAGAGTTAAGGTATACACATAAGTATTTGCAATCTTTTAAATGTTATTGTAATATGAAACAGAGATACAAAAATTCACAAAAATTATATCACTTAATGAGTTTTTAAATAAATAAACAGTAAATAAATAAAATAGAGATATTGTGTCTATCTACAATTTAAAAAAATTCTTTTTAAAGAAAATGAACATTAGTGGAACCAACTTAGATGCCCTTCAATAGATGAATGGATTTAAAAAATGTGGCATTTATACACAATGGAATATTACTCAGCACTAAAAAATAACAAGATCATGGCATTTGCAGGCAAATGGATGGCATTAGAGCAGATTATGCTAAGTGAAGTTAGCCAATCCCTAAAAAACAAATGCCAAATGTCTTCTCTGATATAAGGGGGGTGACTAAAAATGGGATAGGGAGGAAGAGCATGAGAAGAAGACTACCACTAAATAGGGAAGAGAGGTGGGAGGGAAAAAGAGGGAGAAGGGGAGTTGCACGGAAGATGGAAGGAGACCCTCATCATTATACAGAATACATGTATGATGTTGTGATGAGAAAAAGAAAAAAAAGTGTGTCACATTAGATTGGATAGAGAGAAATGATGGGAGGGGAGGGGAGGGGAGGAGTAGGGAGGATAGGAAGGGCAGCAGAATAAAATAGACATTATGATTGCTGTATGTATATAGGTGACTCTATGACCAGTGTGATTCTGCAATCTGTACAATCAGAAAAATGAGAAATTATACCCCAATGATTCAAATGTATGAATTGCCAAGATCATTGTAATGTCATGTGTAGCTAATAAAAAAAAAAAAGAAGGGGCTGGAGATGTGGCTCAAGCGGTAGCGCGCTCGCCTGGCATGCGTGCTGCCCGGGTTCGATCCTCAGCACCACATACAAACAAAGATGTTGTGTCTGCCGAGAACTAAAAAAAAATAAATATTAAAAAATTCTCTCTCTCTCTCTCTCTCTCTCTCTCTCTCTCTCTCTCTCTCTCTCCCCCCCCACTATCTCTTTAAAAAATAAATAAATAAATAAAATTTAAAAAAAAGAAAAGAAAATGAACATTAAATTTAAGCATGTAGGTTGGTTTTGACAAATGTGTACACCCATGGAACCATAGTGAAAATGCCCACTGCTCCCAGAAGTTTCTGCAGGCCAGCAGAACGCTCTCTTAGGGCAGCAGAGCCTTCCATTAGGGCCAGCACTAGAGGAACCCTGGGAGCGGCCTGGGGGTGAGAAAAGTGACACTCATATGCCAGAGCACTTGGCTCAGCCAGGTTCTGAGAGGTACTCTGTAATATGTTTATAGCTGTCTTCTTTTGATCTTTCCTTTTACTATTTTGTGACTTTGAAAAGTTTTAATTAAATTGCCAATTTAAAAATAAATAAATAATAAAAAGGGCTAGGGATGTGGCTCAGTGGTTAAGAATTCTTGGGTTCAATTCCCAGTGCCCCCAAAATCAGCCAATCAATCAATCAATCAATCAATGAAAGACCAAAAGAGTGCAAGAAGGAAAATAGAGCAAGGGAGAAGGGGATAAAAGGGGGAAAAACATGAACTGTAAGCAAATTCCATGTATGTACGATTTGTTAGGATGAACACAAATACTATGTGTCATTATAATGCTCTAATAAAAAACATTCAAAAGATAGAAAAAAAAAGACAAAAAAAAAAGTCAAACTATGTCTCTTAAAAGAATGTCTCTAGCCAGGTGCAGTGGTCCACACCTATAATCTCAGCTACTTAGGAGGCTGAGGCAGGAAGATCACAAGTTTCGGGCCAGCATGGGCAATTTAGCAAGACCCTGTCTCAAAATAAAAAATAAAAAGAGGTGAGGTGGACATGTAATTCAGTGGTTAGAGAGGCACTGGGATCAATAGATTGATTGACCCATCAACCTAGATTGATAGATGTCTCTGGCTATTGTTTTAACAACTGCATATAGAGGAACAAGGAGACCACGAGAATTCCATTGTAGGAGTTCCAATGAGGGTTGAGAGGATTGGAAATTTTTTCATTCTGTGCTTTCATTGCTGAACACATAAAATCTACAAGAAGACAAAGAAGAAAGAACGGAATTATTTAATCACACTAATCCCTCCATCCCCCTTCCATTACCATTCTGGGGCAAGAAGCTACTATTTACCACTCATGCTCCACAAACACCTGGGAATCAAACTGACAGGAAAAATAGGTTTATTCTAAGCCAGCTTTGAAGGAAAATAGAGGGGATTTACTCTCAAATCACCATCTTCAGAGAACTCAAGGGCAAGGAAAGCTTTTATAAAAGAAGAGGTGGGCCAGGGTTATGGCTCAGTGGTAGAGCGCTTGCCTAGCATGCATGAGGCGCTGGGTTTGATCCCTGGTACCACACAAAAAATTTTAAAATAAATAAAATAAAGGTATTGTGTCCATCTACAACTAAAAATAATAATAATTAAAAAAATAAAAGAAGAGGAGGTAAAGTGGGACATAGGGCAGGAAATAAACATATAGATTTAAGTTAAAGGAGAACTCATCAGTCTTGGCTTCCTTGGTGTCTGGAGGTAATGGCAACTCTTCAGCGTTTATTTTAGTATGAAGAAGTTTAGAAGTTAAAATAATTTGGAATTTTTAATTCTCAGTATGAGGAAGTTGCCCTTATTTTCAGTGGGAGTCTGTTTCACTTTTAGAATAAAACCCATTATTTAGAATAAAACCCATTATTCAAGCCTAGCTTCCCCCTTAGTTCCAATAGCCATATGTTACTTATAACATAGAAATTGACACACCAGAATAGTGCTTGGCCAAAATAAATACAATGTGAACCACATAAATAATTTTAAAATTTCTAATAGACACCTTTTTAAAAGTAAAAGAAATAGATGACATAAATCTAATAATGTATTTAATTTAACCCAATATCTAAAATGTTATTTCAAAGTGTAAGCAATATTGAGATATTTCATTCCTTTTTTTTTTTTTACCCCAGTAAATCTTTGAAATCCTCTTTGTATTTATACTTAAATCACATGTCAATTCAGACTGTCTTTTTTGTCCCCTCTGGTATTAGGAATTGAACCCAGGAGTACTCTACCACTATGCTACATCCTCAGTCCTTTTTATTTTTTATTTTGAGACGGGGTCTCATAATTTGCTGAGACTGTCCTCAAACTTGTGATCTACCTGCCTCAGCCTCCTGAGTAGCTGGAATTTATAGGCATGCACATCCAGCAGGACTAGCCACTTTTGAAGTACTCAGTAGCCATAAATGGCCAGTGTCTACTGTATTGAACAAAACAGCTCCAGAAGATTCAGACCTGTTTGGATAGAAAATTAATTTGTAGAAAAATAATAAGGGCAAGATATGGCCATTCTCAAAAGGATAAGAATCAATGGTCTACCTGAGGTCACTCACAAATTAATATTGGTTTTCCAGACCATGCTTTCTCAGGAACTATCTTCTGACTGCCCACTTTAATATATTCTTCCTGTGGTAATGGTTAGCATTGAGAAATGTCATCACTTTTAAGTTCTTTTAATCATTTTGATGTAGTTGTTAGAAATTTCTGGATTCCAGTCTAGGTAATATGATCTGGAGCAAAAATCACTTGAACCTTGTTTGGTTGACTCCAGAATGAGTTTAAAGTTTGTGAGTTTTGAAAATGCTACCATGATGGAATGTTCTGGTTTTGTGTCAATCTGTGCTTTGACCTTTATGTTTACTATTGACCTTCCCTGCAAATATAGATGGTGTCCCAAAGGCACTGCAGACATATTTTGGGGTGGGGTAAAAGGAGTCACTCCTTTGGCAGAAGCTGAATGTCTTTTAATTAATCATATAATTAACTTATTTTAATAACTTGGAAGTCCATAATTTTATAAGATTTAATATAAGCTTGAATAAGAAGTATTTAAGATAAAAGTATTAATTTATAATTTTAGAACTTAAAAGGTATCATGATTATTTAATTCAATTCCCAATTTTGCAAATGAGGAAATGCCAGCCCAGAGATACAAATGCCTAATCCCAGTATACAAAGCCGAAAGCTCAAACCAATCAAAACCAAGAATCTGTCTTCCCACTCTCAGTCCATTACTTTTGTCTATTCTACCCCACTAATTTTTCTTAATCAAGATAATAGGGGAACCAGCCTTTGGAAATAGAATAGTGTGATCTGTCAATTATTGGAAAGTAATTGTGTGAAGGGAAAAGTGATATTTGAATAATTTTCATTTATACTAATAATTTTGGATATTACTAAGCCAAGTATTTTCTGGAATCATGTTAGTTTTCATATTTCATATTTATCAGAAATCATTCTTACTGGTGCTGTTTTTTTAAAGTCAGATTTTTAAAGCCATACAAGAAATTTGGTATAATTTAAACACAGAAGAGATCTATTTACTTTTCTACAACTGAAACAGAAATTTTCTGCCTTATGCTTATCAATGTCTGAAATCTTTTTTTGTTCCTTCATTAGTTTTTACATCAAAAGAAGAAGCAAACTTTTTCATACATCGCCGCCTCCTATATAACAGATTTGATTTGGAGCTTTTCACTCCTGGTGACCTAGAAAGAGAATGCATTGAAGAACTTTGTAATTATGAAGAAGCCAGAGAAATTTTCGTGGATGACGATAAAACGGTAATTTGGTTGATGATGTTAATTAGCTGGAAAGTTATTAAACTGTACTTATGAAAGTAGCACTTTCAGTCATTATAGATTTTATGCTTTAAACAAAATCAAGGTTGTATACCTGTTATCTCTTTCTATTTCCTTAAAATGCTAATTACCCTATTGAGACTTGACTCTATACTTAATTACCTGGGTTTATAGTAATTAGCAGGTTATGGGCTATGCTGTGATTTTTGTGTGTTTAATGTCTATTATACTCAATAACAATCTCAGAGTGGAGTGAATTAAACTTCAAGATATTATTTGAGGGCTGGGAATGATATCTCAGTGCTGAGTACTTGCCTAGCAACCACAAGGCTCTGAATTCAATCCTAGCACCCGAAAACAAACAAAAAAAGATATTACTTGAGTTAGTGCTCTGACCTAAACTTCAGTTATTTAAAACTCAGAACTTTTCCCTAGATATCTTACTCTTTTTTGATTACTATTTATTAACATTCTACTACATACCAGATGCTTCATTAGCACTGAGGATACATAATATGTAGCCCCTGCATTCAGGAGTTTATTTTTGGTTTATCTGTGTAATTTAAAGGAAATCTTTTTTAGAAATTCCACCTTAAAATATAATTAAATCCTATCTGTAATGTGGGCATAATGGCACTCACCTATAATTTCAGCAACTTTGGAAACTGAGGCAAGAGATTCCAAGTTGAAAGCCAGTCTTGGCAATTTAGCAAGACCATGAGTGAAAATAAAAACAAGCTGGGCAGGATGGCCTGAGCCTGTAATTCCAGCCACTTGGGAGGCTGAGGCAGGAGTATTGCAAATTTGAGGCCATCCTCAGCAATCTAGAGAGACCTTCAGCAATTTAGTAACACCCCCTCTCAAAATAGGGATAGGGTCATAGCTCAGTGGTAAAGGGTCCCTGAGTTCAATCTAGTACCAAAAGAGTTTAATAAATAAATAACAAAAAGGGCTGAGGGTATAGTCCAGTGGTAGAGCACCCTGGAATTCAATCTATGGTACAAAAAATAATCTTCTCTGTTAATCTTGATAACATAGATAATACTGTGCCTGTTATCTTAAGGAATGTTAATTCTTTACTTTTGTAGATTAAATAACTCCAGCTCTTTTTCCTCTTCCTGAAGCATTTATGTTATTTTTTTACTCAATAAGAACCTCCCAAGGTATCCTTCAAAGACAGGTAGCAATAAAACCTTGTTCTTTATTCTTCTATAATTGTGCCCAGCCTCCCATTTCCTGTAAGTATTTACCACATCTGTTAAAGTGGGAAAACAAAGAATATGCTTTACAGTTGTGCCTGTTGGGATTTTAAACCCATTTTCTAATTTTATCCTGGTTCCTTAAAAATGTATTTATTTATTTATTAAATGTTTATTTTTTAGTTATGCACAATACCTTTACTTTATTTATTTTTATGTGGTGCTGAGGATCTAACCCAGGGCCTCACTGCTAGGCGAGCGCTCTACCACTGAGCCACAACCCCCAACCCCTGGTTCCTTAAAATTTACTTCTATTCTTTCAAGTACCATGGAACTTAAACTGTCTCAGGGGTGTCTTTCCAAGTCAATAAATACCTCTCAATAAAATCTCCTAGCAAACCGTGGGCCCCCTACAATAGAAGAATTCAGGCCCTTTCCAAACACCATAATGAGTTCACTGCCTTAATCTCCACCCTTGGTGCCTTTACTCAAATATGATTATTTCCCAAGGCCTTAGTGAGGGCCCCAAGCAAGTAAGGGAGAAAAGCAAGGCATGGTTTAGAGGGTGGAGAGTGGACCTGGTTCTTTAACCAATTAAGCAGACACAGTGACCGTCCTGGAGAATAGTGTTTTAATTTGAGTGAGTCACACCTTCTGGCTTGAATGTGCTGGTGTCTTACCTGTGGCACATGCCAAGTGTTTACCACCCCTAGTTTGGGTCATTGGGAGCAAATGAAATGATAATAAATTACATAAATTTGGAAATTTTATCTTTTTCTTAGATGACATTTTGGCAGGAATATTCAATTAAAGGACCAGCCACAAAATCAGGTAAGGCAAGAATTGATAAAATTTAATGTTTTCCTTGCCCTCTCTCTATTATAATATACTTTAGTTTTCATTGTTTGAGTTTGGCTGTTTTTCAACATACATACCTTGTAAATCCAAGAAAGATTTCTCAATTATATGTTGGGTTATCTGAGACAGAGAAGGCTACATTCATCATTCATCTACTTACACATTGAAAATCAAGTTTGGTGAGATATTAGGGAAATGAGATAATGGGCTTAAAGCTGTTCAAAACAGCTCAGCTAAGTCAAGACTTGCTCAGAATACTTTTTTGGTTTCAAGTAGTAAACTATTTTAAAGTTTTGTTCCTTTTTTTTTTAACCATTACAAGTAGATGGAATACTAACATTAAGAAAATTAAGATTGCTGGATAGGGCTGGGGTTTAGTTCAATGGTAGAGCACCTGCTTAGCTTGTGAAAGGCTATATTCAATCCCCAGGTCCAGGACAAAAAAAAAGATTGCTAAGTAGAACTAAGTACCTTTTAGAAAGAGGAAATGCTTTTTCTTATCTTTCTTAACTGTCTTCTAAAATTGTTTTAATTGATGCATAATAATTGTACCTATTTCTGGGATACACTGTGATATCTTCATACATGTCTACAATGTGTTATGATCAAATCAAGATATTAAGCATATCTATCACTCCAAACATTTGTCATTTCTTATTAATAATACTCAAAATCCTCTTTTCTAACTATTTTAAAATATATGATTAATTATTAACTATAGTCACCTTGCTGTGCCATACAGAACATTAGAATTTATTCCCTATTCCTCCTTGCTATAATTTTGTACCAAGATTTCCTATTCTTCCCTCCCCTTTATTCTTCAAGCCATTTTTGACTGTTTTTTATATACCCAAACACATATTTTGCCATTTTTTCAGATAGATATCATCCTTTCTACAGGTAACATCACCCTATAGAATACTATATTGTATAGCTACACCAAGTTGCTTAATGAATGTATCTTAGTAGTTAATACCAAAATGTGTAATTGCACAAGGAATGTTTATCCCACTTAATATTGGATGTTATCGTTTTAATGTGACCTATTTAAAATAAACAGGCACTAGAGATGTAGCTCAATGGTAGAATGTTTACAAAGCATGTACAAGGCCCTGGATACTATCCCAGCACTGCCAAAAAAACAAAATAAACAAAAGCCAGGCACAGTGGCACATGCCTGCAATCCCAATGGCTCAAAGGCTAAGGTAGGAGGATTGCAAGTTCAAAACCAGCTTCAGCATCTTAGGCCCTAAGCAACAACTTAGTGAGACTCTTTCTCTAAATAAAATATTTTTAAAATGGGCTGATGTATGGCTCAGTGGTCAAGCACCCCTGGGTTCAATCCCAGTACCATAAATAAATAAATAGAATTTTTTTTAAAAAAGGCTGTAGCTCACTGGTAAAGCACCCCTGGGTTCACTCTCCATTAAAAAAAGAAAAAGAAAAAACAGAGACTGAGAGAGAAAGAGAAATGAAAGATCATTTAAATTTTTTTTCAGGTAGGTTCTCTAGCACAAAATTTTTTTTTAAAGAAATCAGTATCAATGATTAGATGCTTAATAATGTGTTAAAGTTGTTGAAATCATAGATAATGCATTTCAGTTATTGTATTTATATTATTTTTATGATTTCTTTTAAGATGGTAACAGAGAGAAAATTGATGTTATGGGCCTTCTGACTGGATTAATTGCTGCTGGAGTATTTTTGGTTATTTTTGGATTACTTGGTTACTATCTTTGTATTACTAAGTGTAACAGGCAACCATATCCAGGGTAAGTACCAAATAAAAATACTTGATTCATTTTTGCACATTCTATATTGCTATTTTAAAATGACTCAAAGAGCTGCCTATTTTGTTACATAAACTTTATATTCTGGAATAATTTCAAATACACAGGAAGGTTACAAAAATAGTAGAGTTCCCATATATCCTTTAGCCAGTTTCCCTCATTGTTACCATATCATGTTACCATAGTAGGTTTGTCAAAACTATAAAACAACATTTGTGTATTATTACTAAGTAAACTGCAGACTTTATTTAGATTTTACTAGTTTTTCCGTTAGAGTCCTCTTTCTGCTCCAAATCCTCTCTTCTAGCTATTTGGAAATATGCTCTTGGATCCAGTCATGGTAATACATTTAATTGTCATGTCCCAGGCTCCTCTAGTCTCACAGTTGTTTGGTGGCTTAATTTAGCAACACAGTACAATTTAACGATGCTATTTCTAACATGCTTCAAAAGAATATAAGAAATGTCGTATGTGTTACCTTGATTTTTCAGTAATTCCTTTGAAGCCAGAGGCAGACACCTGTGCCCCCCCACCATTATTTCCTAAAGCAAAAAATTCTGTAGTTTATTCTGAGTCAGACTTAATAGACCTATGTGTGGCTTCCCACAAAGAGACAGAATAACTGGCTTTTTACAACTCTTTTTATTGATTCTTTGAATTAAGTATAGATTAATAAAACAAAATTTTTACCAATTAAAGATAATAGCACATTAATAAAGTTTGATAAATATTCATAAAAGCCATAATTATTTGTACAATAGAACCTCATTATTGTTATTGAACTAAGAGGCACTGATTATCTTTCCAGTAAGTATGCATGAGTAGGTAGAGACAACATTATTCAGAAGAAGCAGGCTATTATAGATTGATGCTTACATATGCATAGTCACAATCAGAAATTTTGTGAATAAGCTCATGATCGTGACCAAGTGTGCTTTTTTATGGTAACTTAGTCATTTGATTTATCTTTTTAGAAAATAAGCATTGTTTCTGTATTCTTCTAATAGAGTTGTGTGTGTATATATATATATTTTTTTCAATATATTACATATATATTTCAAAAGAAAAAATATACAGTTTAAAAAAATTTTTTTTAGTTGTAGATGGACACAATACCTTTATTTATTTATCTTTATGTGGTGCTGAGGATTGAACCCAGGGCCTCACACATGTTAGGTGAGCACTCTACCACTAAGCCACAACCCCAGCCCCAGAGTTGGTTGTTTGTTTGTTTTTTTTTTTTTTTTTTTTTTTTTTTTTTGCAAGATTCTTCATCTTCTAATTTAAGGCTAAGTTTCAACCCCTGTCAAATCAAATTTAAATTCTACAAACCCCTTACCTGAATCTTCAAAAATACCACTGTTGATGTAGTGAAAAACAAAGAAAAACTGAGAAAATAACTGTTCCAAATTGGAGTAGATGATATGATGATTAATGCAATGTGTGATCCTGGACCAGAAAAATAAATTGGTATCAGTGTTAAATTTCTTGGATTTGGAAAATAGGTGAAGATCTTTTTAAAAACATGTAATTATATAATGGTTCTAAAATTTTATTGGCAATTACTGTTAAAAAAAAAAAAGCAGGCCAGGTGCTGTGGTGCATGCCTGTAGTCCCAGAGGCTTGGGGGGGTGGGGGGTGGGTTGGCGGTGAGACAGGAGAATCGTGAGTTCAAAGCTAGCCTCAGCAATGGCAAGGCCCTAAGCAACTCAGTGCAACCCTATATCTAAATAAAATATAATACATAGGGCTGGGGATGTGGCTCAGTGGTTGAGTAACCCTGAGTTCAATCCCTGGTACCAAAAAAAAAAAAAAAAAGCAGCTAATTAAAGCAAACAGCAAAAATGTTTAACTGCTTAAGTTTTCTTTTTTAGGTCTGGGGGTTTAGCTCAGTGTTAGAGTACTTACCTAGCTTTCACAAGGTTCCATGTTTGATATCCAGAACAGGAAAAAAAAATTAAATTGCATAATGCAATTAATTTGTGCTTTTCTTGGCACAAAGTAGGATTAAAAATTTTCTTGAAGACCCTAATCTCCACTATTAATATGTTTTTAGATGCTATCATAGCAATGGAAATAATTTTTAAAGTGATTCACACAGATGAGACCAAAAAAAACTACTTTAAAATTTCTTCAACAGATATTACTTTTATTAATTTTTAGAGAAGCTGGACACAGTGGCACAGTGTGTAACTCCAGCAACTCAGACGTGGAGGTGGGAGGATCACAAGTTCAAAACCAGCGTAGGCACTTTAGTGAAACCCTGTCTCAAAACAAAAAAATAAAAAGGGGTTGAGGATATAGCTCAGAACTTTTTACATTGTAGAACTAAATGAAATTAGTAAATATAAAAGATACATTTCTCCCTAAATTTAATTTTTTTTTTTTTTTTTTTGTGGCACTGGGGCTCAAACTCAGGGCACTCTACCAGCTGAGGCTGGAGAATCACGAGTTTGAAGCCAATGTTGGCAATTTCAGGAGACCTTGTCTGGGGATGTAGCTCAGTGGTAGGGTGCCCCTGAGGTCAATCCCAGTACTACAAAAAATAAGAAGAAGAAAAAAAAGTTTAACATGTCATGTGTGATGGTGACCTCTGTAATCCCAGCTACTTAGGCTGAGGCAGGATTCCAAATTCAAGGCCAGCCTCAGCAATTTAGCAAGACTCTGTCTCAAAATAAAATAAAAATGGCTAGGGATATAGCTCTGTGGTTCTCTGAGTTCAATCTCTGTGATCTCCTAAATTCAATTCCCAGTATCACACACACAAACAAAAAAAATTAATGTTAAAATGGCAATTTTATGATAAATAGGTATTGTCACATTTTTTTTAAACTGGAAAAAAGAGTAAGAGCTTAACGCAACAGAAGTGGAATTAAGATTCATGTATTAGAGGAGAAGAGTTGAAGTTGTGAGAGTAGGCAAGTTCTCTGAATGTAATTAAAGGACAGAAGGGAAGAGACAGAGTCTTACAGGATGCCCCCCACTAAGTATGCAGAAAAAAGAGGAGGAGCCAGCAAGGAGGGGAGAAAAAGAAGGAACATAAATTGTAATTCTACCTCATGCTGAAATTCTTGGAAAACTCCCTGAGGCATTATGTGACCTATGGGCATGGACTAAGAAGTCTGTGTCTATAAATTCTGTAGAAATTTCAGAAGTGAGAGAAAGTAAGGAAGAATTTGTTTAATTTTTCTTAAGCCACTATCTTTAAGCTGAAGACCTATGTTAATTTTCCTCATTCAGTATATAGGACTTTTCTAGTATATAAGTCATTTTCTAGGACTTTTGACCAAGATTTTATTTACTGTGGGTTTTTCACCAGCTAGAGGAATCCACAGGTTAATTAAAACATAGGCAGAATTTGTCTTTGGAGATTCTTCTTGATGTCTAGCTTTCCTTTTCTCCTACCCCATTCATAATGTTTTTCGGGGAAAAAAAAACCTCTTGGGGCTACAGTTGTAGCTCCATGGTAGAGTGCTTGCCTAACGTGTGAAGCACTGGATTTGATCCTCAGCACCACATAAAATAAAACAAAAGTATTGTGTCCATCTACAATTAAAAAAAAATTTTAAATGAAATCTCTTGTATGTCCTCATGTTTAATAACTGCATTCAGGCTAGGGGTGTGGCTCTGTGGTAGAGCACTTGCCTAGCAGGTGCCAGGCCTGGGTTCCATCTCCAACACTGAAAAAAAAAAAAAATCACTCAAGGTCTGTGGTATCTATGATAGCACATGCATTAATTAGTGTCTTCGTGCTTGATGATTTCTTCTCTCTGCTTTATTTTTCTACTTTTCTACACCACTCTGTCTTCCTTATTTTGTTCCTTTTTTTTAACCCCCAGAAATATCATATTCATAATTTTTTCCCTGCATGAGGATAGAAAAAGAATTCAAATTCATGGGGAGGTTAGGCAAGGTGCTGCTCTAGTAGTCCTAGCTACATGGGAGATTGGGGCAGAAGGATCACTTGAGCCCACAGGTTCAAGGCCAGCCTAGGGAACATAGTGAGACCCTCATTTAAAATAAATAAATAAATAAGCACCACATGGGGGGTTAAGTGGTAACATGATTATGGCATGTCTTCTGTATATGTCATTGTGAAATATAAAACCCTGGATATCTCCTTTTAAAAGTAAGGTTAGTTAAACTTAACGTTAGTGTAGTGTAATACCAGTGTAGTATACAAATAATTTTTCATCCATTGTGTCTGATCCTCTGAACTGTTGAGTTCTAGAGGACATTTCAAGCTAGGTTTACTAGACATGCTCTTTTAAATACTAAAGAGCTCTTTTAAATACTAACTTTGAAATACTAAAGTGCTTTATTTATTGTCCCAGGAAATTCTTCTAGCAGAGTCATTTGTTCACTTTCTGTATTTCACAAGGCTGAAAGTAGTGAGAGGGGAAGAGAATACTTGAGAAAGAAAAACAATTTTTAAAAAAAGATCATGGTCAGAAAAATTTGCCTCTGTGTAAAACATACCAAAAAATGGAAAATTCTAAAATCTTTTCCATTCTTGGTTCCTGTATTTTGTGGAAGAAAAGAGGCATAATATGATATCCAGTTTTAAGATATTATTAGTGCATACTTTCTGATTTTAATCACATAAGATATATGAGGTATAAGAAAACACTAGGTAGTATTTAATGACTGATGTAATCATTACATAGTTTCTATAGTTTTTTGTTTGTTTGTTATTTTTATTTTTTTGGTTCTAGAGATTGAACCCAAGAGTATTTTACTATTGAGCTTCATCCCAAGAACTTTTTAATTTTTATTTTGAGACAGGGTCTTCCTAAGTTGTCCAAATGGCCTTGAACTTGATCCTCCTGTCTCAGCCTCCTAAGTAACTAGGATTACCGATGTGAGCCACTGTGCACTGCTTCTATGTATTAAATTTTGAAAGTCAACATGGAAAATTTTTGTTAGAATAAAATATCTGTCTACCCCATCCCCTGTAAGCAAACACACAGAACTTTTTCATCGTAAGCTGATGAATGTGGCAAGTGACTGACCTCTCATGAGTGCATTCCAGACTTCTGACAGAGGAGGAATTGTGTTGAGCCCTCTAAGTAAACTTGTGATCCTCTCAGTTGCCTCTCAACTATTGAAGGGCTGATTATCCAGCTCCTAGATTTACACAGACTTTTGCTTTTCTTCTTTCTGCAATTTTTCTCTTTCCCTCCAATTTCAAATCTCATTATTACCTTCAAAAGGAAAAGGTGTCTTAAAGAACCAGTTGGCTGACTTAGCTTGGGAAAGTTCTCTGTAAATTGTCTGTGTCTTAATGGGAAGTATACTGTAAACATTGACTAGAGGTCAATATTGACTGTAAGTTTTAATTATCTCATTAGCCGTAACTATAGGAGGTTAACTTATGTAAGGGTACTTTATAGACAGCCAACTTTATAATCTAAACAGATTTACTTCTTAATGCTTCAGTTACATTTCATAATTCACAATGGGAAGAGAAAACAGTAGATTTAAAACACCAGACCCATGTTGCAACTTCCATTGACTGGCAAGGTTTTGTGAAAATGGTCGACTGAACCAAGCCATTTATGTATTTATTTTCCTGTGGGGGGGGCGGGGAATATATATATATATATATATATATATATATATATATATATATATATATATATATGGCTTAGATTAGTGGAAGGGGAAAACACAATTCTAAGAAAAGGATCAATACCAGTGAAAACATAGAGAAGGGCCCAAGAATTTGCTGCAAACACAGGGTAGTATCAAGAAATTACTCAGCAAGAGCAGAGAACTGTAAAAACTAAGGCAAGACCAGAATAAGGGAGGCTTTCAAGAGGAGGCTCAGGAGTCAACCTGATTCGGTGGCAAGTAGGCTGCAGTTAGACTTTTAAGGAGGAGAGCAACATGAAGGAAGTACTGTTTGCTGTCTTAGAGGTATGGAGTTAGAGGTAGGAGGGAACAGAAGACAAAGGAGGATACCAGCCATTGTGATTATCTCTGTGGCATTTATTTCCTTGGCTTGAAGTTGTCCCCCTCAACAAAGCCTCGATTTGGCATCACATCATACTTTTGAGAAAATTTTCAGTGAAGAGGGAGTGAAAGAAAATTCACACATTTTGGATTCTTACTAAGTGTGCCAGACACTGCTAGAAGCTATATATACAACATCCTCCTGGGTTTTCACAAAACAATTCTGCTGTAGCTTTTACTATCCCCATGTTAGAGAGGAGGAAACAGGTAGTTTGAGTTCATTCATATATCTATGAAATGACTGTCAAGTTTCAAACCATGTCTGACTTGGTCTTTCCCTATACCAAGACTCTTTCAGAGTTGTGGGTAAACTATAAAACAGTTGTTATATTAATAAATTGAGTTCAACATTTATCAAAATATTTAATTTTTTAATATTTTTTTTAGCTTTAAGTAGACACAATATCTTTATTTTATTTTTATGTGGTGTTGAGTATCGAACCCAGTGCCTCAAGCATGCCAGGCGAGCATGCTACTACTTGAGCCATATCCCCAGCCCAGAAAATATTTAATTTTTAATATTAATCATATTAATCCAAAAATGCTGCCTTTCCTAGACCTAAACACGATCTCTCTGTTTAGTTCTCCAGCCATCTATGCCAGAAGGGGCAGACACACTCCCTCCATCATTTTCAGAGGACCCGAGGAAGCTGTCTTATCACCGTCACCAACTTCTTTGGAGGACACAGGACTGCCTTCTTATGAACAGGCAATGGCACTGACCAGAAAACACAGTGTTTCACCACCACCACCATATCCTGGGCCAGCAAGAGGATTTAGGGTATTTAAAAAGTCTATGTCACTCCCGTCTCACTAAGAACACCCTGTACTTCGGCATAAGAAATCCATGCTATTTGAATGGTTTGTTCTCCCTGAACCAAAAAAGATTCAGCTCGTTATGACAAACTGCATAGAATAAAGGAAGAGTAAGCACCATGAACCACACCACAGTTCCATTTGCATCTTGGACCCGAAAGTGATTGTCATCAGCTTGGTAAGAGAATTTGGCGCCAAGAGCAACATGGTGACACACACGTGTAATCTCAGCTACAGGGGAGGCGGAGGCAGGAGGATCACAAGATCGAGACCAGCCTGAGCAAGTTAGTGAGGTATCTCAAAACAAAATTTAAAAAAATGGCTGAGTGTGTAACTCAGTGGTAGAATTGCCTGGCACATGTGAAGCCCTGGGTTAGATTTCCCCACCATGCAAAAAAGGGAGAGAGAAAAAGAAACAGAATTTGATTATATAATTCTCACAGTTAATAAGAAAGCACTTTTAAATAATGTATATTTTAAAGGTTCAAAAATCTTTGTTAATGGCTGGAGATTTAACTCAGTTCGTAGAGTTATTTGCCTTGAATGCACAATGCCCTGGGTTTAATCCCCAGCACCACAAAAACAAAACAACAACAACAACAAAAAAACACCTTTGTTAGTATCTTTTGTCCAGATAAAAGTTGTAGATTTCTTCTGTTGAATATTTTAAAAAGTAAGAATTTCTAGTCATTACTTATCCCAAGTCATGATATTGAACCCACTATTTGGATTTTTTTGTGAGAGGAGGTGGAAATACTTCACAGAATTCAACATTTTAATATAAATTTGTGACCTTAACATAAACACTGGTTTTATATTTTAAATTATTGCCTACTATTCACCATATTATGCAGGTATTAGTTCTTAATGCTTATAATAAGTCATGTTTTATTATCAGGAGTGGGGTCAGTAGAAATACTGTTTGATACAATTTAGTTCTTCGTATGGTACAGTGTTGCAATGGCAAGGATTTATAAAAGTTGTTATGGTTTCAAATAAATAATCCTCTAATTTAGGACTAGAGCTTGATAAAATTGCCCTCATTTCTGATGAGGAGATACTCCATCTGCATTAATAAAAAATCTACATCTACATCATTCAATCTCTGGAAAATATAAATAGTTTGAGAATCTAGTAAAAGTATTTAACTATTAAAATAATAATAATTAAATTTGCCAGAAAACCCTTATATCTTGTCTTTTTTTTTTTTTTTGGTGCTGAATATTGAAGATAGGCCTTGTGCCTGCTAAGCACAGGCTCTACCACTAAGCTATTTCCCCAGGACCTACCACTTCTTCCCTTGCATCTTTTAATATGTCTGAACACAAAAGAAAAACGCCATATGTAATAATTTTAACCAGTACTTTATGTCTATTTTAATTATGTATATAGCCAGTTTTTCCCTAAGAATGTTGCATAGTGGGTAGGGGATATAGTTCAATGATAGAATCTGTGCTTAGTATTTACCAAAGACCTTGAGTTATATCCCCAGCACACACACACACACACACACACACACACACACACAAATCTAGCTGAGTATAAGTTAGTATAAGTTATAAATCTCTGGTATATATGTGTCCTAATTTATATGCATAAGTGAATTTGTTTCCTCTTTGTAAGAGGTCAAGAAATATACTCCTGCCAAGTGTTGTGGTATATGCCTATAATCCCAGCAGCTAGGGAGGCTGAGGCAGGAGGATCACAGGTTTGAAGCCAGACTCAGCAATTTAGCAAGGCTATATGCAACTTAATGAGACCCTGTCCCAAAATAAAAAATAAAAGGGCTGGGGATGTGGCTCAGTGGCTAAGCACCCCTGGATTTAGTCCCTGGTACCCCCCCCCAAAACAAAAGAAAGAAAGAGGGCTGGGGTTGTGGCGCAGTGGTGGAGCGCTTGCCTCTCACGCATGAGGCGCTGGGTTCAATCCTCAGCACCACATAAAATAAATTGCATTTATCTACAATAACAACCAAAAAAAGTATTTTAAAAAAAAGGAAGAAAGAAAAAAAATAACATACTCCTAAAAAATAAAATAGAAAATTCTGTTCTTTATGTTCTTGCAGGCATTGCATTTTCCTATTATTTAAAATCATTTATAAAATATTACTTTATTTTATAATTTTTACAGAGACGGGACTTCAAACCCATGTGCATTTGATAATTCCTTCCAAATTAAATGTTTAGAAAATATGTATCATATTACAGTTCATATGTGTGTCTCTCTTTTATAACAGCATGATCTTCATTAAGACAAATAAAAGTAAGACCTTAATTATTAGGCACTGTTAAATTATCCTTGTAGAGGCTCAGAGTCTGTTTAGTTTCTTATTACAAATAAATCATCTAGCAACGTTTAGATTTAATTAGGAAAATGTTTCATTAAGCCACCCACATTATCTATAAAATTCTATTAGTCATATCTTGACTTTACATAAGCACTTTTTGTCTTGTTGCTATGCATTTTTTTTAGTTGTAAGTGGACACAATACCTTTATTTTATTTATTTATTTTTTTAATGTGATGCTGAGGATTGAACCCAGTTGCCTCACATATGCTAAGCAAGAGCTCTACCACTGAGCTACAACTCCGGCCCTTGTTACTATACATTTTACACTTACTTTAATCCCCTTTTTACGAAGTGAGCAAAGTCAAGATTGCCAGTAACCTTTTAAAGAATAAGTATCAGACTAAGATATAACTTGCCTAAAATCCAACAAGTTCGTGAGAGGTGGGTTTAGATTGAGTACGTACACTTTTCAGGTCCCAACTCATGCCTATAGAATTACACTGCTTCTAATTATAATCCAAGGATCTTGTTAATTAATTCTAAATCCATGAGAAAAATTTACAAGCACTTCTCACATAGACATACATGTACATAAGTACACATATCACATGTGTATGTATAATGTTTTTACATACATGTGAGGAATATTTGGGTTAAATACAAATAAAAAATGTGTGTATCTTTTACTGAATCGTAATTTGAAATGTTCCATGAATTCCTTTACTTATACTGACTCCCAAAAGTAAAACTGCAAAGTTCGCTTCACAGTCTGTGACAACCCCACCCTGTCCCAACAGCAGCCTAGAGATATCAACTGCCATCGTTTAGTGCAAACGGGATGCTCTGACTTGAGTGAATCTAGAATTAATTCTTGTGATTGTGAAGTCACTGGTATTTATAGAGCCTCCAAGACTGAGATCATAATACTTTAAATATAAAAGGACAATGTGAGAGAACCATTGTTGACATATGCTTATAATGATGGAAAGGGAACTATCTCAACATAAAACCCCTGATGTATATCTATTTCATTCACTTCTTTCTGTGTCTGTTGTATATCTGGTAAAATTGTTGTTTGATTTAATTGACCTGTTTTGTTTATGCTTCCCCAGGTTATTGATTAGTGCTAACCATTAAATCTATTTTCACTTGAGGTTTTATATATAATTAGATAAGTTTTTCACTTTATCACAATCAGAAAATGAATGGAATATGGAAACAAAAGGAATAAGAATAAGACAACCTTATAAATGTGTATTTGTCTTGAATAAGACAAATACACATTTATAAGGTTATACCTTTAGTAGGATAGATAATTCTACATAGAATATTCTCTTTTGAAAATGAAAAAAAGGACAAATTCTATGAAAAACTTTTGTATCTATTAATGTCTTCTGAGTGAATACAGACAAATGTGGAGAACTCTCAGAATAATTAAAAACTGTAGGGTTGGGGGCATAGCACAGTGGTAGAGCATTTGTGTAGCATATACAAGAACCTAAATTTGATCCCCAGCTACACAAAAACAAAACAAAAGAGCTGGGCACAGTAATCCCAGCAACTGGGGAGGCTGAGGCAGGTGGATCACAAGTTCAAGAACAGCCTCAGCAATTTAGTCAGACTCTGTCTTAAAAGATAAAAAGGACTGGGGACATAATTTAGTGGTAAAGCTCCCCTAGGTTCAGTACTCGTAACACACACACACACACACACACACACGAAGTGAGGGATATTGTCCTCAGTATCTTTGATTTCCCATTTCCCTTTAATATTCTAAACAATTTTTTCTATTTCTCAGAAAATTTATATATATGCATACTCTTATATGTAGAATAGACTTTTTTGGGTACTGGGGGTTGAACTCAGGGGCATTCGCCCACTAAGCCACCTCCCCAGCTCTATTTTGTATTTTATTTAGAGACAGGGTCTCACTGAGTTGCTTAGTGCCTTGCTGTTACTGAGGTTGGGTTTGAACTCACGATTCTCCTGCCTCAGCCTCCTGAACCACTGGGATTACAGACATGCACCACTGCGCCCGGCTAGAAGAGACTTTTAATGCTAAATGATTTGTTAATGCTTAACAAAAGCTCTCTATATTATTCATATTGTTTTTCTTTTATTTGAATTTTATTTGTTATTAGTTTGATTTGTTTATTTGAATTTTATTAGCTATTAATTTGATTTGAAATATATATGACATTTATACTATTAAAGGAATGTCTAGCATTTCTATAATTTTTTAAATTTAATATCCTGTCTATATGGTCACTTTGGAACATGTATGACATATATTGATGCCTTCAACCTTCTGAATTACGTTTCCTCCAACCAATCTCTCTCTCTCTCTCTCTCTCTCTCTCTCTCTCTCTCTCTCTCTCTCTCGGAATGTACACTGGGGATTGAACCCATGGGTACTTTACTACTGAGCTACATCTCAGCCCTTTTTATTTTTCATTTTGAGACAGGGTCTGGCTCAATTGCCAGATTTGGCCTTAAACTTGACATCCTGCTGTATCAGCCTTCTAAGTTGCTGGTATTATAGGTATGGGCCTGGCTCCTCCAACATTTTTTGTTTAAAAATGTTTTCTAACAGCTTAACAGTTTAAAGTAATCCCGTACAAATATATCTGTATTTTCATTACCTTAAAAGAGCAATCCTTTCTTTTGAACACATTTTTTCCTAAAATCTAATTGTGTTTTTGTTTTAATGAATTTCTTGTTCAATACACTTTTTATATATGTAAATAAACTTTATTCTAAGTAAACATTTATTGCTTATTTCATTTAAATATTCTTCTTCCTCATATAATAGCATATTGTGACATATGCTATCATATTAATTAAATCTGAACAACAACTGCAGATTATCAAAACAATGTTTATAGTACAATGTTGTATCTATCTTTCACCTAGTAGGGCTTGCATTCTATGTAAACACTGTAGTTCAGTTGTGAAGGGTTTTTTTGTTGTTGTTGTTGAACAAATTCTCAATGTTTAATATATTACTTGAGGCAAGCATATTACCCCTTAAAACTTTTTTTTCCAGTACTGGCATTGAACCCAAAAGAGTGTTCCATCACTGAACTACATCTCCAGCTCTTTTTATTTTGATTTTTTATTATTTAGTACTGGTGGTTGAAACCAAGGGCGCTCTGCCATTGACTACATCCCCAGCCTTTTTTTATTTTTTGTTTTGAGACAGGGCCTCACTAAGTTGCTAAGGGTGGCCTTAAACTTGTGATCTGCCTGCCTCAGCCTCCTGAATTGCTAGGATTACAGGCGTGTATCACTGCACTGGGCCCTAGCCCTTTTTATTTAATTTTTGCTTTGTTTTGTTTTTGAGACAGGATCTCACTAAACTGCTGAGTCTGGTCTCAAACTTGCAATCTTCCTGTCTCAGCCTCCTGAGTAGCAGGGATCACAGGTGTGTGCTACCACACCCAAATAAAACTAAATTTATTTCTGTGACCTGAAGATTGTTTACGACATTGACCAATGATGACCAGAGTTTTGCTTTTTCTTTCTGTTCTATATGCATTCTATTTATTTATTTTCTTTACCTTATTGTACTGGCTAGTCCTCCAGTGCAATGTTGAATAAATGGCATGTGAAAGAGACAGAGACAGAGAGATAGAGTTTAAAAATATAAATCTTGGGGTTGGGGCGATAGCTCATTGGTCGAGTGCTTGCCTAGCACATGTGAGGCCCTGGGTTCGATCCTCAGCACCACATACAAATGAATAAATAGAATAAAGGTATTTAACAAAAAATTCCTTCCTTTAAAAAAAATATAAATCTTACCATTTAGTGAATGTTAATGAAGGATATAAGAAAATTATATTATTCTTTTCTTTCAGTTTTTTTTTTAATTTTTAAAAGAAAGTGCTTTAAAGGAAACACAAAAACACAAGCAACAAACAGTCATCCAGTTACAAGCAGCTTAGTTGGACATGTCTTTCCAGGTCCTGTGTGTGCATACACACAGCATCCCATTTTGTGTGACTGAGATTGTACTTGTGTATTGTGCTTTTCCACACATAATGAATATTCACCAGTTCAAAATCCCAAAGCTATATAAATACTTTCGATAACCAAGAATACACTGCACCAACTCAATCTGTTAGAAAAAAAAAATTGTAATCCTGCCTTTCTTGGGAACAAAAATTTCACTGAAAGCTGAAATGGCAACAGGCCTCTAGATAGACATATTGGCAGAGTTACAACTAAAATAATGCATTTTCTTAATGCTCAATTTAAAATGAAACATAAAGCAACAGAGTACACCAAGCAGAATGCTTCTAAGAGGATTCATTATCAGATTTCTACCACTAAAATAATAGCAAGAAAGCAGGTTCCCAGTGAATTAAAGATGCGCACACACCAATGGCTCACATCAGAATAGAAATCCTTAAGCACTTGTTCCCATCTTTCCCTGTGTGCTTCCTTCTGCCCCTCTGTTGCCAGCCTAATGAACAGGTTCTGATACACACTGCCCAGAGATAAAACAATTCCATGTCCAAGATGCATCTTTTCTATAAATTATAACAAAAAGATATTACCGGGGCTGGGGTTGTGGCTCAGCGGTAGAGCGCTCGTCTAACATGTGCAAGACCCTGGTTCGATCCTCAGCACCACATAAAACATAAAATAAAGATTTTTTTTAAAAAAGATATTACTAGCTGGTTAATTCACTAGCTCTACTTTTTATGATACACTGTCACCTCAGGACATCTAGAAAGCTTAGATATTGTAAAATAAAGGACAAACTTTGTGCACAATGAACACAGGTACTTTACCAAAAAGGCACATATAGATCTATGCTTATAATCTAAAATTGTCTTCCAGATATGGAGATACTAGCAAAGAGTGCTTCTTCTCACCCTTCCTCCTCCCTCTTTACCATTCCAGTGACTAAATTCAGGATTACCCCCAGTTCTAAGAGTTTACTAGTTATATTTCCATTACTTGGGTATCAACAACTCTTTTCATTTTTTGCTGGTACTAGGAATTGAATCCAGGGGTACTTTACTACTAAGTATATCCCCAGTCTTTTTTATTTATTTGTTTCTTTACAGATTCATTTTTGTGGTACTGGGGATTAAACTCAGGGGAGCTCTACACCTGAGCTATATCCCCAGTCTTTTCTATTTTTTATTTGGAGATGGTGTCTCTCTAAATTGCTGAGCTAGCCTCCAATTTGTGATTTTCCTGCCTCAGCTTTCTCAGTAGGTGGGAGTACACGTGTGCTCCACAGCCTTGTGCACCTGACAAGGCCTTTGTAACTCCTTACCGACCAGCTGTAAACTGAGGTTCCCATAACTCCCTGTGTTCTAAAAATTCGCTAGAGCTGCTCATAAGACTCAAGGAAACATGTTCACTGGTTTATTATGATGGATATCAGAAAGCACACCAGTAATCCAAGCAACTCAGGAGGCTGAGGAAGGAGGATTGCAAGTTCCAAGTCGACCCTGGCAATTTAGCAAGACCCTGTTTCAAAGTAAAAGATAAAAATGGGCTGGTTTTGTAGTTCAGTGGTTAAGCACCCCTGAGTTCAATTTCCAGTACAGGGGTTGGGGAGGAGGATATTATAAAGTTTGGTGCTGTGGCACATGCTTGTAATCCCAGCTAGGAAGGCTAGGAAGATCACAAGTTCAAAGACAGCCTCAGCAATTTAGAGACCTTGTTTCAAAATGAAAAATAAAAGGGCTGGGATGTAGCTCAGTGGTAGTAAGCATGATTGAGTTCAATCCCCAATACTGGGGGGGTGGGGGTCTGAAAGGGAAAGATATCACAAAGGATGCCCCTGAAGAAATACATAGGGTGAGGTATGGAACAAGAGGTACAGAGCTCCCATGCCACCCCAGGTGAGCCACCCTCCAGGAATCTCCACATGTTTTGCTATCCAGAGTTTCTCAAAACCCTATTCTTTTAGAGCTTTATGTAGGCTGCATTGTGCAGGAGTAACTGATCAGATCATTAGTCATTTGTGATCAATTTAACCTTCAGTCCCCCAGAAGTTGAGGGTGAGGGCAAAAGTTCCATCAGCCTATGTCTTTCCAGTGACCAGCCCTCATCCTGCCACTACCTAAGGGCTGCTAGTCAACAGTCAATTCCATTGCATACAAAGAGATACTTATAACTTTGAAGATCCCAAGGATTTTATTTATTTATTTATTTAGATACCAGGAATTGAACCCAGGGGTGCTTAACCACTGAGCCACATCTCCAGCCCTTTTATTTATTTAGAGACAGCCCCCTAAATTGCTTAAGGCCTGGCTAAATTGCACCATCACGTCTGGCTGAAGATCCAAGGATTTTAAGAGTAGTATGCCAGGAAACTGGCAAAAACTAAGTACATATATTTCACAACATCACAGATACCAAGTAAATGATATGCTTAGTAGGTAGTACACATTAACTGACATTAACATGCATGATAATTAAATCTAGATCTTTCCCCAAAAAAATCATTTATCACCACCATATCTCCTGCTTCAGGATAAAGAGAACAGAGACATAACTAAGGGACAGGACAAGGTAAACCAGCTATGAAGAGGGAAGTTGTGGTTTAGTGCCTCATGCTTTGGCTGCAGCTGAGAGAAGCTAAAGCATGAGCCCAGTGAAGGCCCTGCCACCCTTGGTTTGGGTCTCAGTCCTTTAGCAGCAAACCTTCTGGAAGACACTGGTCTCGAGTTATATTTGAAAATAAGGACAACAGGACTGCCCAAGATAGTAAAATATTTTTTTCTTTTCATGGTGTGTGATATATGTATGTGGGTAAATTTATAAAGGACTGTGTTTCTCTTGTTGGGACACAAATGTTCCCTTCATAGAAAACATTCCTTTGTTCTTCCTAATGTCTCACTTTGAGGAACATTTCCCATGGCTTTGATCAAGCCACTTCCCTGCTTCAAAGGTTCTGATGGCTCCCTATTGTGAAGACATATTCTAAAATGATTAAATGTTTGGATCATGGGCCAAAATATGGGACTATTTGAACATCCATGTAAATAAATGTTCTCATATTTGGAGAACAACTTCAAGTTCAATGATTGACTACAAGAATTTATAGAACTCAGAGATATTGTTATACTCATGGTTACAGCTCATTACAGTGAAAGGAAGCAAATTAAAATCATCAATGAAAAAAGTCACATAATGCCGAGTACAAGAGACCAGGAGCAAGCTTCCGGTTGTCCCTTTCATTGGAGCCATGAAGACATTAATGCTGTGTGACAACACACATGAAGTATTGTCAATCAGGAGTACATGTAAGCCATGGTGTCCAAGGTTTTTATTGGGGGTCATCACACAGTCAAAGCTGAATTGCTCTGGGTCTGACCTTAATTCTCTAGCCCCTCCAGAGGTCAAACTGATATTAGGTGGTTCAAGGTCTCCAGCATAAATCGCTTTGCTAGCATAAACTCTGTTGTGTGGCCCAAAGCCTCAAATAAAGATGTTTCTAATAGGCAGAATATTCCTTTCTTTGCAGTGTGTGGGGTTTGAACAAATGGAACCTGCTCAGTGAATCCTATACTGCACAAATCTATCCGATGAAATAAGAATCCAAAGACAGAGGAATTAGACCAGAAACACTGCAACTTCTAGAAGAAAAGATAGGGTCAACACTCCAACAAATTGGCACAGGCACTGACTTCCTTAATAAGACTTCTGAAGCTCAAGAAATAAAACCAAGAATCAATAAGTGGGAAAGCATCAAATTTAAAAGCTTCTGCAGAAGGCATCATAATACCAAACCTTAAAC